CCAGGCTCAGCTGCCACAGTATTCTGTCCCTGGTCAGAGAAGAAACTGCAGGTCTGCAGCGCCCTGGATATTCTCCCATGTGAGCCTGCAGTTTCAAATTTATACGTATCACCCTCCTTTCTTTTTTTGCTCCTTCTATGTCCACCCGAGTTTCTACCCAGTACTTCACTCAAGGTGGTCTGTATGCTCCCCTGAGAGGCTATACAGTGGTGCCACTTTTAAACCCAATATGAATTTGTATTTCTACTTCCGTGTGCTATGTCATTTTAACATGGGTAGTTGTTTGAATTTATTGGCTACCTCTTGAGCACCTATGCCCTCCTTCCAGGGTGATAATTCTTACCCTAAATGTGGTCTCAGTTTCTGCAGACTGTATTATATTTCTGTGATACAGATTATGGAAAGTATCACATGTTTACTTTCAATTTTATCATAGAGATGCAAGGTGATGCTAAACCAAACTGTTGTGTCATTGTCATTTCTACTTTGGATTCTATTTTTTTGTGTGTGTAAGCTTGTTTTTCTTAAAGATCAAATCTACTTGTTTCCAAAATGAAATTGGAATTTGAACATACTGATACATATTATTGTCATTTTTATCCCTCATCATTTTACATGGAACGACTAATATCTACTCCATAGGATTGTTGTCAGGATCAATGAAACTAATGGATGTTAAAGTGTTGGGTACATAGTAGGTGTTTGCTAAATGCTGATTTTCACATACCCCATGAACATTTCTGAAAACAGTCATATTTCCTGACATGTTTGAAGGGTATTAGAGTGTTCAAATAATTTTCTTGTGTGTAATAATATTTTCTCCATATGCCAACCCATGAGGCAGGTGGCATCATCCCTAATGTATAAATGAGGAAAATGAAATAAGAAACTGTGCCCCCCTCCCTCCCTTAATGCTACCAGGGGAGTTAGCAGAGTCAAGACTAGAATTCAGACCTTACATATTCAGACAGGGCTCTTTCTGCTTCCCTTTATCACAGCTCAGCTTTCTGCAGTTGTAATGTCAGAGAGCGCTAATCTCATTAGTGCACAACAATCAGAATTAATTGGAAGCTTGACCATTTATAGTACTGTAAGGTTAACAGTAGCCAAGGTGCACTGGGAGAAAGAGTGAGCCATTATCTGAGGCAGAATGAATGAGATCCTTCTTGAGTTGCACTAAAGAAAGCAAGCAGAAGCTCAGTGTATATTCACCTACACCACAAGGCTACCACAAGTGTGGGTCTCCGGGACAGCTTAATAAAGAGCACCCAACCACCACCAACCTTCTTCCTTATCTATGTGCATTGACATCCTTACAAGGCAATTCTTCAAGGCACCTATAAATAAAGAGTCTGAAGGGTTTGGCCAGGCCTGTCTCATAGGTTGAGGCAGCTTAAGTGAACCCCATTGTGGGGTGTTCTCCCTTTCTTTTCACTCCCCACTAAGTAGCTGACTCATCATATGACCTTGAGTGGAGGCTTCTGTTCTAAACTCAGCACTTGAAGCAGGAGGCTAAGAATACAGACCCGTTCCCAGAGTGTTCAGGTGGACTACATAATTTCTGCTTTTCAAATGTGAAGTATTTTCTAGTGAGTCCCCTGGGGCTGAGGATCCCCTGAGGTGATGTGACAGGGGGCTGGCCCATCATGCCCACAGTCCATGCATGCTCTCCCCTTGGGAGTCTAGGCTGCCTGCCAAGTGCTATTTTGGAAATGGCTCAAGTTGCCCGTCTTTTGAAGGTCGTGGACATTCTGCTCCATGGGAATGCATGTGGCAGAGTAGATTGAGATAAACCTCAGTATCACTAGTAGAGTTTTAAGCAAAGGGATCACAGTCTACCTTCAAGGCCAACCCCAGTACGTGGTACACAGTAGCTTTTATATTGCGGATGATAGTCACATGGAAAGGCACAGGAAGCATCAGATCAGAACAGCTTCCAGTGGCGGTTCTACAGCAAGGACCTAGAAGCTCTTTGCTGTGCCAGGCATTACCTATTAGTTGTTGGATCTTGTGGAGGTCTGGGGTTCTCAGAGTGGAGTCTGAAGCAGTCATGGCAAGGGGTAGTGGCTATTTACTAACTGGTTTGGGACTGTTTAATACTTAACAGGTGTGCTCTGCTGGCCAAATATCAACTTTGTGCTTTTTTAATGAATAAGTGGATCAGATGATTTGGAATTCTTTACATGACAAATCAATTCAATGAGGTGTACCTACTGATACTGCCGATCCTATAGACACATCTTTTCAGCAATGCCAGTGTTGGGTGAAGTGCTATCTCCTAGAGTTTAAAAAGAAGGCGAAGGATGGGGATTGAGGGTAGGCTAATTCCAAAACGTGAGTAAGGATGACAAGTTTTTAGATGACCCAGGAGAAAAGGCCAATACCAATTTTGCAAACTTACTTTGCCTCAGGTAGACACTTGGTCTACAAAAAAAAAAAAGGCAGAAGTGCAAAAGACAAAGTGAAAATCATGGGCAAAATACACAGCCTGTTGTGGTGGACACCTGCCTGTGAGTGGAGTCTTGGCAACTTTAATAGGTCATTTGTGAATCAGGCTGATTTGCTTCCATCCCCTAAGAGATACCATCTCTGTCCTATGTTTTGGGGCAAAGAAGGCAGCCATTTCCATTTTGTGGTGGGACGTCTGTAGGATGGGTGCCCCTTTCTCCCTGAACCATCTCCCCAAGCCTACGACAAGCCTGAAATGCTATCATTAGAAATTCAGTCCTTGTCAACCAGCCTGCTGTAATTAGAAGGGGCATGAATTAAATTCATTATCTGCCATGACCACTTTAACACAAATAGCTCATTAGCCCCCAGCTGTCTCTTTGGAAAATAGGCAACAGTGCCTTCTGAGGAGAGACTCAGAAGAGAACCTTAGAGAGAATACTGGAGACTGTGGAGACATCCTGAGCAGCCTGGACTGGGAGGAGCCAGAGAGTCCTAAACTGCTAGGGAGAAGTGTGCCCCAGGGATAGGGGAACGGGGACACTGAGCTATGGAAAAGGAAGCAAGGGAAACGATACACAAGCTGGTCCGTTTGCTAGGACTGCTCAGGTAAGTCCACCTGCAACAAGCAATCTGAGATCATAGCGTTCTTTGCCCAGAGAAGTTTCATTATCAGACAGTTAATGCTCATTTGGAATCAGCATCACTAGATGCTTTCTTAGATGCGCTGGAACTTAGAATCCTGTATTAATGCTTTTCCTCTAAAAACTCAGCTGTAACTCAGCACAGTATGCTAGGAAGTTAGACCCACCCATCACAATCAAATGGCATACTCAGCCCCTAATGAGATGGATGACCTAAATGCCAGGTGTTTCTCTCATCCTCAGTTGTCTCAGACAAGGCCTCTATGGCCAATCACCCACCACCTGCTTCCTTCCAGCAAAGCCTCCCCGGACACCCGCTCCCTCCCCCTCCCAGGTGTCAGGTGCACAGAGCTGATGCCTTGGGCAGGCCTCCCAGTTTCTACATTCTCTTATTTAGAACCTTGGAGCAATGTAAGGTTTTCAGAAACTTCCAAGTGGGCAATTTTTGTCATACTGTGGTTGCTTAAACAATTCCCTTCCTCTCAGTTTGATAATAGGGCCAGTTCTCTTAACTCCAGTATTTACATCCCCCATACCCCCAAGCAATGGTATCACAAATAAGCAGTTTCCAACCTGTTACAAATAGTTCAGATGAAGTTTGTGCATCTTGGGGCCCCCATAAGGAGGTACCTTGGTATTCTGTGAGCTAATTTGGTTTAGGCTTTGGCTGAGGTGGATGTCTGCTGGGCTGGCTTACACTTAAAAAGGAGGTAAGGGGAGAGTTCCTTCACATGGAGCTGAATGTGTGGACCTCCAGGATTTCTGCCTGAGGCCCCCCTTCCCTGGAAATCCTTCACTACATAGACTGTTTGGAGTAAAGGCACTCTGCTGGTGAAAAACCGCTAATTGCCAGTGTGTGACCCTGCTGGGGACCACACCATGAATAGCCATTGGTGCACTGGCTCGCATCAGTTATCCTGAAGCCAGAGCAGAGAGGAAGGAACAAGACAGTGCTTTGAAAGACAGCGGGATGATATGGGGGAAGGTCTGGGGCAGGTGGGCCTGCTGGGGGAGGTGGAGACCTGAGGGTGGCAGGCAGTGCCTGATCAGCTGGCATCAGTCTGGGGGCCTCGGGTACTTTGGGAAGGCTAAGGAGATTGCAAGTGGGATATGAATCGTGTCAGGGAGAAATCTGGCTTGCTTCCTTCTTTGCCGATGCTCAGGACAGGAAGTTTTGTCTTTCTGTTGCTGCTTTTCTCCACCCTCTCCTCCATATTATCCGGGTGTTCCCGGTTCTTACAGAGCTTTTTCCTTGGCTGCCTTATGAGAGGCCTGGCTCTGGGGACTGGCTGGTCTCAATTCTCCTGACTCATCCTGCAGACTCATTGTCCTCTCTGATGACCTTCTGAGGGGCCTGAGCTCATGGCCTTGACTTTGCTGGCTCAGGGAGGTCTCTGATGAGGGGGAGTTTGCACGTGACCCATGCTGTGCTTTTGTTAGCTTTGCAAGATCTGAACACTATTTGTTCTGCTGGGAGAAAAAGGCATTGCAGAAATGTCCATGGTCCCTGTCAGCACCTTTTGCCTTTTAGCAGCGTCAGATAGTGCTGAAAGGCTAGTTGAAGAGTTAGATGTTAGGAATGAAGCACAGCTGTCCAGTGGATTTTAGGCTGAATGGCTGAGACTAATTCAGAGCTTTAAACCTCATTTAGGCTTTCCGTTGTGACAGCTTACATAGTTTAGGTCTAAGAATTTATTCAAATACAGCTCTTCAGTGTTGTCTCTTCCTAGACACATTTCTGGAAGAAAATCAGGGGGAAAATCTTTGCTTTATACAACCCCGTCCCCACCACTCATTTTCCTATTCACAGAGCCTTTATGATTGCATGCTTGCTCCTGGGGCAGGGGAGGGGCTTGGCTGAGGGTTAAATGGAAGGCGAGTCCTCCAGTCCTGCCTCCCCACCACGGCCCTCCTCTCCACCTCTGAGGGGTCCAAGCTTGTCCATTCCCAAAGCCTGCTCTGTAGGGGAAGTGATGTATGCCAGTGGAGAGGGGCCTGGCAGCAGCTGCCTGTCATTTGTCCCCCTGACTAAAGAAGCTTAAGGCCCAGTGGGAGCATTGACAGGAGAGGAAATAGTCCGTACAAGCCTCCTGGAACCTCACCTCTCTCACAAAACATCAAGAATCGCTAAAAGGAGGAAGAAAGGCTAGGAAAGCCATGTTACAATTATTCTCACCACTGATTGTCATGCACCTCTGGCGAAACCAGTGTTTTAAAGCATAATGGCAAGAATCTCCACCTCTCTTGATGGATTGCGGAGGTAAGGTTTGCTGGGGACCTGAGGCTCACGTACTTTGGTCTCTTCTAAGCTTTTCCATCTCTGAGTAAAATGAACAGGAATCTGAGAAGAGAATGATGTGACTGTGGTATTTGTTTGCTTAGTGCTAACTTTTCGACTATTTTCATGTGCTCTAGAGGTTGGCCTTCATCAGTGTTTTTCCTCCTGGAGGGCAGCGGTCACCTCTGCTCTACTGGCTTTGCCCTATATGTAGCACAACACAAAATGCAGAGCAGCCTGTGACTGGGTTTGTGTGGGCTGCTGGACCCGAGCCCTGGAACTGCAGCCCTGGGTTAGGTCAGCGCCTGGCTTTCCTGGGTAGATAAAGATGACATTGGGTGTCCTTGGGCTCTCTGATTTCACTCAGCCATAATGCGTTTTGCATTAGTTTGGCCTGCCTCTGTGGCCAGCCGCACTCCTCTCTCTGGCTCCCAGTAAAAGAGTTCCCACTTTATGCCACACGAAGCACACTAGGTATTTTCACTGCTACGCCACGAGCAACTTCAGGGCACAACTTGCCTTTTCATCTCTGTGTACCCCAGCGCCTGCTGACTCCTAGTTCACTGAATTGAATTGAGTGGCTACATGAGTACCTTGTATTTGACCTTGTATCACTGACATGGGGGCTCATGAAAGAAAACTACCCTTGGAAGAGAGTAGCTACTCCAAAACCAGCGGCAACATTTCCACCCCCCAGCCGGCACCTGTGAAACCGTTAAGCGGACCTCCCAGTGCTATACCACAACAAGAGGGCCGGGAGAGGTGGAGAAGGGAAAGAACATTTTTTTAAGCTCCCTCTTTGTAACAGAAAATTTCTATGTACTGCCTCATTTAGTTCCCACAGTGGCACTCTGGGGTCAGGGTGATCATTCTCATATTACAGATAAGGAAACAGAGTCAGAGAGGTAAAGTGACTTTCCTAAAATCCTACAGTTTAGTAAGTAGTAGAGCAGATCAGCGCACTATGTTCTATTATATCCTGAAGTGGCAGCAGAATTTTGGGGAGCATTTCCTGGGCTTGGTCTGTGTGCTGTTTCTGGACCCCAGTTACTTAAGGACATGTGTTTTCCCCTTGCAAAGGGCCCAGTGTTTTAGACTGGTGAAATATCTAGTGTCAAAATGTAGTCACCTCGTATAACCAACTTTGCTGATGTAGCTATAAAGGTTTCCCTCAGTTGTCACCTTTGGAGCAACCACTGATTCTTCTGTAACAGTCTAGAGCATTGTACCGAAGTTACCTAAAGATGCAGATTCCTTATCCCCCGCTCCTCCCTTGGAGGCAGGGCCTGTGACTGCACTTCAACATCACTCACAATACTTTGAGAGCACCAAATCCTCATTAGACCCTGGGAGTGTCTCACTGACAGCACTTAGAGAAACACTGGTGCATAGCAGCACATCCTGAAAGTGTCCATTAGGAGATTTTCCTCATAAAAGGGGCATATGATCAGTAGGTTTGGGAACTCTGAGTTAAAAATAAATTGATTTCTTTCCTGCAGGTGGGCCTTCTCGGAGCTCTTAATAGGTTCATGCACATTATGAATGTTCAAGAGGAGGTTACAGAAAGGAAAAATTATCTCATGACGGAATCTTGTAATCCAGTAATATTTCATGTCTGTAATAGCACCTGGTATACAGGTGCTAATTGCTATTTATTACAGAGGCTTCTATTCTTGCTTTGGACTTGATCTCAATTGTGAGAGAAGAAATATAGTTAACTTCATTATTTGGGGCTACATTGAAGTTAAGCTCAGTCATAATTAGGGTACAGTCTGAGTTACAGAATGTTCTTAGGTGAACATTGCACTTTATTCAGGGACCTTCAAAGGCTAAAGGAGGGCTGCTGAGATTTTTGCATGGACTTGTTCCAGATCCTATGTCCCACTGTAATGAAGAGATAGAAGGATGTGAACTAACCTTAACCCTCTGTTTGCCATTCACTGCTTCTAAGGTACCTTAATAGCTTATGTTAAGTAGCTTGTTAATATTAATTAATTTAAGGGAGCCTTTCCTTCATTGTAGGGTGAAAATAAATTCAGCTATCTGTGTCCGAGCATTCCAAATTTGGAACTAGTAAGGCTTGAAAGAGAAGAGTTGCCTCAGTTTGTGAAGTGACTCTCAAACTTTAATGTGTATGTATAAATGTTCTGGGGCATTTGTTAAAATGCACATTCACAGGGCCTGCTCTCAGGGATTGGGCTTGGGTATCTGCATTTTTAACAATTGCTCCAAGGGATTTCTCTGAGAAATGCTGATAGAGTGTTTCTATTTGGAGAAATTGTTAAACCTTTCAGGCCACTGAGAGTAGAGGGACTGGCTTCTTGTACTAAGGAGTAGATCTAGTGGCATGGAAGAGTTAATTCATCATCTCAGAGGAAGCTGTCCTGCTACAAATGGTCAGTTTAGATAATTTTACTTTTAGTTTTGATTTTTTTTCTTCATTTGGCCTGAAATAATTCTGGAGAATGGCATCAACCTGTTCCCCGTCACTGCTCTGAAAGCTAAAAGCGATAGGAATACTGTCACCCTGTGTTCCATAGAATGGAAAACTCTGTGTATAGGAGAAATGGAATTTACTCATGGCATTGACTTTGGGATTGGCATTCATGAGTAATGCTTCATTTCCAAGGGAACAGAATATGGACTTCATTATTAAACCAAATGTATTTTGCCTTTTGCTGGTTTGATTTTTACTTTATTGGGGAAAAAGCATGACCTTTAGGACTGAACTAAATTGATAGCCCAGCTCTACCCTCACTAGTAGCATGACCCTGGGAAAATTTCTTAACTTCTTTAAACTTCTCTTCCCTTGATCTGTAAAGTGTGTTTAAAAATAACAATCTCATAAGGTTGCTGGGAGTATTAAATGAAGCAAATTATGTAAAGCACTTGGCCCAGTTCCTGGCACATTGTAGATGCTCACTAAATATTAATGCTTCTTCATAAGAAACAACTAGTGCAATTCTAATTGTGTTTCTGCACCTCAGTCATTTGTCTGAACAAAAGATCCTGTAGATACCTCCACTTCTCTAGGCTTCCATTTCCTTATTTGTAAAATGGGACTAACAGAAGTAGCAATGTCATAGGTTTCTTGTATGGATTTAGATGACATAATACACGTAAAAGCATTTAGCAAATGCCTGGCACAGCATAAGAAGTCAGTGTTAGTGGCCATTATTACTGATACTATATATTGCCCATCATTCTCTCCTTAGCACTGCAAAAGCTCCCCAACTAATAGAACAAATGGTAGAGTAACTTTGGATAGAAGACGGTAGGGATGATTTCTTGTTTTTATAAAATATTATAAGTAATTGCTAATTTGCACCAGAAACCTAAATACAACTTTGGGCACATAACAGCAAACTCTTTGTCGCTGGGCAACATATCACCTGAAGCTCTTGGTAGATAAGTTGGCATTTTGTCAAGCTTATTTAAACCTGAAGTTGTGACACTGCAATATAGTAAAAATGACCTTTAAGGGTAATATCTGAAAGACCCTAAAGATGAAGATGTTTCTACAGAAGTAAACATTCTGAGTTTCCAAATGAGATACCACATTATGCCTTCTAAGAGCAGAATGTTGGGATTTCCCATTTGAAAATAAAGGAAATACAGGGTAGTTTGCAATCTCAAGGTAGGATTTTTTGTTTCTCTTTTGTTTTGTTTTTGCATTTTATACAACGATCTACATTGTTTTTTTCCCCAGAGACCTTAGGATCAGTTGATTTGCCTAGAACATACTTTCATGGTCCTATCATTACAAAGATGGTACCTTTTACTTAACTACATGAAGTCCTTCCAGGGCAGTGCTGAATCATCAATGAAATAAAGTAAGTTTATGTGTAGCATCATAAGTAAATCTTATTTTCTTAAAAATTGGTAAACCTTATATGGAGTATTTAGTGGTTCTCGAGTAACCGGAATACCCAAGTCTATTGATTTGAATGTTCCAGCCCCTGATAATGCTTGATAACAAAACTACTTGATACAATAAAAATCAGCCCATCAAGCAGGTTTTTGAGAACCATTACAGTGGTATGTGGTGTAGGTATGTGAGAGGAAAGAGGAGGGAGGAGGAGGAAGAGAGGCATAGGAAGAGTGGCAGCCTGCTGTTGTCACATTCTGTGTGAATTAACCATTTCTGAATTTTTGACAGAGATTTGGGGGATGGGTGATTTAGCCACTGACTCTAAGGATTTTGGGCAAGTCACTGAATTTCTCCCGTTAGAAGAGGGATGATAATATATCATGTCCTGATGAAAGACTGACATGTTTCCTTTCCAAGGCTGGTTTTGTTATGTGGCTAGCCTTGGGAGCAGCCTGAGGACTTATCCCCACTCCTGACTGGTTTCTTTTGCCAGGCTAGGCAGGCATTTTCTACTATGTACACTCAAAGTTTGCTTTTTTTTACTTTCTCATGACTGACATTGCATTACTGCCTTTTAATTGGGACAAGAAAAACTTTTTATTCAGGGGATTTATAGAAATGGCTTTTAGGATGTGGATTGTTAATCTTTTGCCCTGGGGTCTCAGGCAACTCTCTTGAAAGGGTTATGTATAGCACCCAAAATATGTGTAAAGGAAAATTTATCAGTAGAACTTGTGTTGTAATATTATGTCCTCCTGAATGTCTTCAAGCCATGTCACATGGAGACTCACAGGGTTCATTCCACTCCTACAGTCTGTTTCTGTATAATAGGAATTCAGTGTTAAACTGTCAGAGATTATTTGTAGCTCTTTTTTTATGATGTTGGCAAATTCTGGCACTTGTGGCTGGTCATAATGCCTTTGCTTGGGTTAAAAAATTGTTTTCTAAAGAGCCAGATTAAATAAAACAAAGCGAATGATTTCTGACCCATATATATTTTCAAAGGACTTTAATATTAAGTATAGGCAATAGTATATTGTCCTAGAATGTATCTTGTATTTTCAAGAAAGGCAGAGTGTAGTATCCAGGTATTTCAAACATATGTATTCTTAGATAAAGATGGAAAGCAAACATGGATTACATATGTATAAATCAGCAAAGGCCTAGCTTTATGAAGTTTGTACACATACCAATTATTGGACCACTAAAGTAGATGGTGGTAGCAATAAAACCTTCAATATTAAAAACACTACAACATTTTGAGGTAAAATAAAGGATGTTAGGTATATCTCATTGACTCACAGAGTCATAGAATGTTAGAAGGGAAGGGACTTTAGATGTTATGTTTTTTTTAAAAAACCCCTCATTTTACTGATGAAGAAACTCAAGCCCAGAAGAGAGAGATGATTTTCCTGATGCTACACATGGAACAGGTAGAAAGTCAGAGGAGAATCCAGAAAGTGCAGTGGCAGCAGAAGCTAAGGAAAGGGAGAATTGAAGAGGGTAGAAAAACCACAGCATCATTGCAGAGAGACTGAGGATGACAATTGAAATACTGCCCTTGGATTTGGCAAGGAGGATCTCACTGGTGAACTCAAGAGAGAAATATTGGTAGATTAGTGAAAATAGCAGATTGTGGGATACAAATGGAGACAGATTGTGACATAGAAAATGGAAGCAATTCAGATTGGAAGAATTGAAGAAGCAAAAGGAGGAAGCATAAGTCAAAAACATAGCAGGTTGAAAGAATGATAATTCTTTTAATATGGAGCTTTGAGCATGGTTTGAAAAGGAGGTGTGAACCCCAAACTTGTCATGTTTCCATGACTGAGAATAATAAATGTTTATTTGCCCCTCCAAGCCAGAGAACTACCTTCCAAAAAAAAAAAACACAGTAAGACCCAACCCCAAGCCTGACAGCATTCAACCTAATCATGTAGAAGGAAGGGCACAGGCCAGAAGTCAAGCGATTGGGACTTCAAGGCTATCCAGCAGTATGACTGACCAGAGGCCAACCCCCAAACTTCCTGTAATTACTTTGACAAGCATATGGACTTGGTACCTTCCTATGAACCTAAAAACTCATACTGAACCTGCAATACTTCATTTGTTACCTTTCTTATCCCTTAGTAAGGTTTGGGACTTTTTTCCAAGAAAGCCACTGAGTATGTTTACGCCTGGCTTCAGCTAATTAATTAGGGAAATCACTCTGAATTCCTGTTAACTGGGCTAAGGTGGATGGGCTTAAAAACATGGCTCCCCTGAAATTATGGAGCTGGTCTATTTGTGGCTATAAATCTTGATCAAGGTCTAGGTTGGCATTTCAGTTGCTTAACAATTGATACTCTGGCTGGTGCTTGAGGCAGATATTCAGTCAGCTCCATGGATGGTTAAGACAGTTGAAAGGATTACTGGGGGCTGCAGAACTGGGCATCAACATCACCAGTCTATGACAACACTGAATTTAGTGCTGAAAACACACTTATATCAAGTATGCTGCAATTATGCCTTTGCATGATGACCTCATTTAATTCTCAGCATCAGTGAGATGTAAACCCAAGTCTGACTCCAAGTTGCTACACATTCTGTTAGGCTACCACTTTAGGTCTTTCACCATTCCTCCCATCTGTATTATTTTTCCTTATCACTGAAGTCCATTTGACTCTCTCCAAGAATTCTGTATCTGTGAGCTCTCTTTGCTACTGAAATCTGCTTTCATGAAAGGATCTGCTATGTGAGTCACATGCATCATGATGTGAATTTAGGTAGTGCCATCTCTTTGAAAGAGATTTGCATCTTTCATATTATCAGTGTAGAGTGAAAGTCTAGGCCCTCTGTTAAAGGGGCTTCTGACATCAATGAGCAGGAGGAAGAACTTTTGGGGGCGAGGGTCACAGGAGTCAACCCAGCACCTGTGACATCCAGCCAGGTAAGCCGCACCTCTTCTGCTTATATATAAAACTGGCACTGGTCCCAGGCTTAGACTGGTTATGTTTGGACAAAGGGGAGCCCAGTCCTATGGGGAGATGAGAAAAGATGACCTTTAAGGTCTTTTCCATCCCAGAGATTCAATGAGCCTATGATTTGATGACTCAGAGAGGTAAGTAATTATCTAGTGATATCAACTGGGAGAGGCCAGGAAAAAAAAATCTACTTTGTGATTCCAGTGGTCTGAGTTGGTTGCTCAGAAACACCCCCAAATAGCTCAAATCTCTGCTTCATTTGGTCAGGTCATCCTGAGTATCCTTGCTTCTCAGGGAGAAGAATCATCTTTCATTAAAAGGTGGAGGTAGGGGAGCTAAAACCAGACAATATTTAATGTTGGGAGGGCCCACATGGCCTATTTATTCTAAGCCTCTCATTTAACAAAGGGTCTAACTGAGACCCAGACAGGTCATGGTTTGTCAGAGCAGAGCGGGAGCTGGAACCCAGGACTTTGGACTCCCAGCCCAGAGTTCTGTTGAATGTATATACCCTGCTGCCTGGTACTATTCTTTTCCAAACTTGTATTTTCATTTAGTCCCTGGTAAAGCCAGATAAATACAATCACTGAAGTGAGGTTTAGCACAGGAAACAACTGCTTCTCCACTCAATCCCTTCTCACTAGGGGCTTTTTGTTTTGAACAGTGTGATACCCCAGTAAATCCCTAGGCCTGGGATGCATACATTTAATTAGAGAGAACCCACTCTTATTGTTTGCTTTTCCAGTTGACCCTGCTTCTGACCAGCAGGAAAAAGTCTGGACTTCAATGAGGTTCGGTTCGTGTGGTGGCTCTGCCTGTAGGTAAAGCGCTGAGACTGAGTAGGGTGCTGGGGTTGGGGAAGATGTCCCCCAGAATCCCTACCTGGTCAGCTGGTGCAGATGGGGGCTATGTGGGACTTACTTCTTTTGGCCTTCTGTTGTCAGGAGTTGGGTGGACTAGTGCACGGTGCTGAGATGACTGCTCTAGTGACTAGCACCCTCCCTGACACCTGAAAACCTAGGTCTTTCTCCTGCCTGCCCACTGCCTCAGCTTGATTTGCCTGACTCACCTTAGTCTTAATGGCAGTGACACATGCAAAGACCACATGCAGTTAGCAAGGAGCCAGCCCCACTGAAGTCGAAGCCTAATTCTAACTTGCACAGCAAGCAGTTTGAGCAAAGGAAACCGCCTACAGATCTGAAAGAAAACAATAGCTTATTTCTAAGGAGATCAGAATTTGTGGCACTTCCAGCACAGTATAGCATGGTATTGTGGTTCAAAGAGAAGGCTCTGGGGCCAGGCCAGCTGTGTTCATCTCCAACTCTGCCACTTACTAGTTGTGAAGTCTTGAGCAATGTACTTGACCTCTCTCTGCCTCAGCTTTCTCTTCTGTGAAATAGATCTAAATCATAGTGTTGTTCTGATGATTGAAAGAGTAAGTGTAAACCACTTAGAAGGGTGCCTGCTGTGCAGGAAGCGCTGTGTTGGCTCTTAGTGTTCATAGGAAGAACAATGAAGGTATGTGTGGTCTTTGGCTGTTGTTTGAAAATGCTGTTTGCTTGGTTCCTAGAATTTTTGGCAAATTAAAATATGGAGGCCGTGTCTTCTCAACCAGGTGTGTTAACATCACTGTGATCCCTTCTCTAAATTGCATTTGAAAATTTGTCTCACATAGGTAATCTTGCAGACACATACATTTTCTTCAGAGAGGGGAGTGGTCCTCTTGCTGCTGCAGAAATGAATATTGGGCTGAGTGCATAGAAAGTGAAGTACTTGTAACGAAAGTAGCAAATTAGCAATGATTCTGCCAGCAGTTTTAAAACAAATGGATTGAAAGAGATTTCAATAACGATGTGCCTAACTTAGAGTTGCACTCCAAGCATTTAGTAAACATGTCATTCCAGTATTGAAAACAGCATCTAATCAAAGCATGTTTATAATTAGACATCCCATATAATATCTCTCAAAATTATTCTCTGCCAGGTGAGATGCCATTCCCTGGAACACCGAAATTGACTGTTGGTTCAGCCTTTGTTATTATTAAAAAGACAGGTTGGGGGGTACCAAGAGAGACTCAGATGAATGAACGTGCTTAATTTTAATTAGAGAGAAAGAAAAAATAACATGTATGGTAACCTGTACAGAGAACCCTCTGCCAGTAAAAACTGCCTCAAAAGGTATGACTCTGTATTAATTTAAACTAGGCAGACATTGGCACTACATTCTTTTATTTTTCATTAACATTTTGGTTTAGAACAACAGATTGCTGCAGTGAGGGGACAAGAACGGCAGCCAGTGAGCCATCTGCCGAGCATCTCACCAACGACTCCACTAGGGAAAGAAGCCAGTGACTCTGGAATGTATGCAAGAGGGACACACACCATTAGCTAAGTGACAGGATGGAAGATGGGGAATTTCACTGGGTCAGAGGAGACAGAGGTGGAGGAGGCAAAGCAGAGCCCATTCTGATCGGAACTTGAAAAGATCCAAGTAATTACAGCAGGCCAATAGGATGGCAATCTGGTGGGTTTGCTTGTAGTGGGTTTCTTTTCTTTGAAATTACAGGTGGGACAAGGAAAGGGAAGTGACCAGCTAACACAGTCATTTGCCATGCATCTCACATGGGACACATTCTTCAGTTCAGTGAAGATTTGTCTATTTAGACACACCAACTCTTGAGCCCTTTGGGATGGAAACCTAAGATGGAAAACCCTCTCCCTGCCTTTTTAAACACAGGTGAGGCAGGGTGGTGAGATGGTTCTGCCTGGATGCAAACTGTAAGGGGGTTGCATTGTACACAGAGAATTTAAAGACAGTAATAAACCATCTAAAAGTCTGCCTTTTATTATCACAATGAACAGGCAATTCTAAACAATATCAGTGAAATAAATTCTCCTCCCAGCTGGGATAGGCCTCTTCTGTTACCCCTTCCCCACGGTATACCAATGTGACAGAATCAACACAATTCGGGGTTCTATTTGATGGTTCCAGGTCCATATGGGGAACTGCAGTTCTGGTGCTGGCTGTGCTCTTTGGTGTCTCAGGGCTATTTGTCCCTACACTAAATAGCCCCCGACTGCTCTACCTTTAGAGCTGGCCATTCTGCATGCTGTTCCTGCACTGTCAGCTATCACATTTCAGTATGCCTGCTTTTAGGAGCACCCTTTTCTTGGGTGTTATCTTCAGTAACCTAGGAAGTATTGAACGTTGTCAGCCTCACAGGGAGAGAAGAGATAGAAGGCTATGAAAATAGACAGATTAAAAGCACAGTAATCTGTATCCTCTGCATAATAAGGTGTGGAGGTGTGGGATGCATTATAGAAAGTTTTTCTTCAGAAATGGTTAAAATAAAAATAGCACTGCATGGCTGACAGATACGTGCTTCAATTATGTGGAAAATTAGCTTCCATAGAACCACTCATTCCTTTACAATGCTGGTTAAATGGAAACATCATGGTGAATGGAAAGAGCTCAAGATGAGGAGACAGATTGGGTCCTACCCCTGCCACTTCCTGGAAAAACACTTTAAGGTCTCAGAGCCTCCGTTTCTTTAACTGTAAAATGGGTACAGTGATAACATCTGCCTTGCCTCCCTTACTGTGAAGTGGATATCACACCAGCCTTCATCCATGCATGTGCCCAGTAAAGTGCCACCAGTCAGTGCAGGTCACAGTTCTCTCACCCTCCCTCATGCTGCACCTGAACATACCTTGAGGGATAATCTCTGTGTTTTTACTTCCTTTCTGGAGCCATTAAACTCTTAAGGCACATTTATGTTCGTGCATGTATCACAATTAATTACTGGGGTCTTTCCCCCAAAGGTTGAGGGCTTCTCACTCAGAAAAGCCTAAGAAGAAAAACTATGTTTAGGTAACCCTGTGTAAGTGAGCTGTGAGTTTCCAGGACAGTGTTCAACTGGAATTGCATTAAACTCAGCTGAGCCTCTGTGCTACCTATTTCCACCTTCCCGGACCCCTGAACACACAGCGGAACACAGGGCCTGAGGAAGGAAGTAATGATTCTTTATTAACCTTTCTTGCAACTGCACCAGCTTTGATGCTGTCCCATCTTAGCTTCATCTTGTTATTATATCTCCTGTCTCTAAAATGAGTAGGGGCTCAAGCTGCCCTCTCCCAGCTGCGCCCACCCAGGCTGAGCTTTGTACTTTCTCTGTGGTGCTCACTCAGAACCCAAAAGGGAGGAGATGGTGGCAACTTTAGTGGCATTGTTCTCACCTCACAGTTTAACTTTACACCCTGAACAGGAAAGGTAACACACTGTTCAGCACTACGAGTGGATGAGCCACATCAAGGAATCACCTGTTGGGTCCTGCCTCCCTTCGGGATCCTCACAGGCGGGCGGGCTCCACAGGGAGGGCAAAGTAGCATCCATCTAAGTGGTGTGATTTCAGGGGTAACCCAAACGCCACCAGAAATAGCTCTCTTGTTGGCCTGTGCTGTTTCTAGAATGCCCGTTACACTGTAAATATGCTGTTAGAGGGACCAGAACATGGGGGCCCTCTTATGGTCTTGATTATTAGCTCAGTATTGATTGATTTCCTGGTTTTGACTTTTAGCTCAACATCTATGTAGTGGAGACTAGAGAAGTATGTCCACTGGTGACAGCACTTACTATGTGCTGGGCATTGTGCTAAGCATTTGGTACGAATTCTCTCATTTAATCCTGACAATCACTTTAGAAGGGAGGCAGGATTGTGACTGTCATTCCCTAAATGAGGAAACTGAAGCACAGAGTGTTTATGTAGCTTGCTGACAGTTGCATAGCTGCAAGTGGCAGAATCAGAATTCTCACCCAGGTCAGCTCTAGTTTTAAAACCCACATGAGGCTGCCTCTAATATCTGGAGCTCGAACTCGCCTACAACGCTACACAAAAACCCGAGTATAGAACCAGGTCTAGCTCCTTACAAGATAGCTGGGGACTTTAGGCGTGGGGGAATCAGCCATGAAATACACATTCCAGAGCAGGGTCTCTGCTGTGGAGGCCAGTCTTAAGTGGGCCATCATGCTGGAGCCTGGAGCATCTTCTGAATACACTTAAGGGAGGGCAAGGTAAAGGGCAGAGCCCCCAAAACTCCCCAAGGAAACCTCATGCTAGCATCTGAATTAAGTTTATTTGAAGCTAGGAAGGACCTCTGGGGTCACCCAGTCTAGTGGCCTTATTTTACAAATGGGAAAAGGTGAGGCCTGGAGAGGGGCAGGCCCGTAGTTAGTTGGCAATGGCAGGGCAAGGGCAAGGTTTTACTGCCGTAGCACTTTGCCTCCCTCATATGTGTGGAAAAATTTAACTCTGAACCAACCAGAGATTTAGCAACTCAGTTTGAGCCAACCAATCCTAAATCACCTCTTTTTTCTTTTTTTTTCTCACCTAATAGGAACACAGTCACAAGTCTGAGACTATGTTTTCAGGACTCATTCACTGAGGCTGTCAGAGGACCTGGTTGTTCTCACTGATTTTGAGCTCAGAGACTGAAGATGTGCCCAACAGCATGAATGCATTGAAGCTTCTCTGATGGGACTTACATTTTCGGCTGGCACCAACTCTGGGCTAAGGGATTCTGTATGTTTACTTCCCGCTGTATAAAGTAGGCCTGCCTTTGACTTGCCCCAAATCTGTTCCTTTCCAGCATTCAGGGGGACCCCCTTGTTCTAACACAACAGGGCTTGGTGAACAAGGTCATTTCGCCTTTCCATCCATCTTGCTGACTTCAGACTATGGCCACTTACTCCAGACATAAGAGGCCTGATTCTGGCGGGCCCTCCCCTGGGGAACATTTTACACGCAGCAGCTAGTGATCTCTGTGGCCGACAGACTGCTTTTTAACTGCGTTCTCCTCCCTGCCCCCACTGCTTCCTGGCCAAGGCAGGGAGTCCCTCTCAGTAGGAGCTGCGCAGAGGACAGGGTGAGGAGGAGCTTCCTCTGGCAATCGGGTCTCCCTCAGCTGAACAGAGGAAGCGGGAACATGTCAGGATTGGGGTCTGAGGTTAACCTTGATGGACTCTGGGCCACAGTGGCAGCTGGGGAAAGCTGCCAAATTCTGGCGCTAAGAATAGTGAGACCTTATTTGGGTTTATCGTATTGACACATTTCACACTACGTTTCTTAACAGGCTGCCTTGTTGGATAGCATTTGTAGCCACCTCTGGAGTCTGCTATTGAAAAACTCCATTCTTGTTTCTTTTTTAAAATAACCTTCTGTGGTGTTGAACTTGAAAGGTTGTCAGATGGAAGTGTTTATGTGCTCTCATCTCAGTTAAAATAGCGTAAAGAAGAAAGTATCCAACACATATATTTACTGAGTACCTGGAGGGACATAATTCAGGGGATGAGGTGGATGAGGTGATATCTGACCTGCCATCCGTGATGCAGCTCTCGCTTGATGTAGGCTGTATGCATGCCAGGGGAAAATTAATAGTCCTCTGGCTGTAATCAATTTACTTCATTCAAACAATTGGCAATTGTATTTTCAAGCAACTGGCAATTTCATCTGTTTTACCAAGTTCTCCAAAACACACAACTGAGGACTGACTGCAAAGATAAATATTAATAATTGAAGAAAAGCCATCTGCTGTACGGGTCACTGCTGGGGACACCAGAAGTCCCTTGGGAATCTGGCCAAGTCTGAGGGCGCAGACTCCACCTGACTGAGAACCCCCCCTCACTTTCCCACCCCCTTTTTCTCCCTCGGTGGGAATGTGGTTCTCATTTAAAATATAGTAGAGCTATGCTATATGTGGCTTTAGTAAAATTCCAATAATCAGCTCTTACCTACATGGATTCCACAAATATCTGGATTTTTTCTTTATCTGCTTTTAGAAAATGGTCAATAAATAAAAAGCTGCAGTGATTGCTTTAGGATTCTGCTCAGGAAATCAGGAGACCTGAATTCTAGTCCCATTTCTGTGACTGGCTCTGTGAACTCAAGCTATCTCCTCTCTGAATCTCTTTTCTTATATGTAACATTAAAATGTTGTGCTACATGATCTCAAAGTTCCCTTCTGCCAATAACAGTCTATATTTCCAGTACCAGGGGTTTAATTTCAGAACCACCTTTCTGGGCTCAGTACATTGAGCCTGGTCTCCTGTACCTTCTGCACCTTCAGTCCTACCTATGACAGCCATAAATTATATCAAACTTTATATACTTAGTAATCATGATTTACTTCATAGTTTTCAAAGCACCTTCATACTCATTCTTTCATCTAATCTTCATATAATCCCTGTAAGGTACACAGCTCAGGTATTATTACTCCCATTTTGCAGATGGAGAAACTGAGACCTAGACAAGTAAAATAACTCATGCAAGGTCATAGGGCTAGAGAAGGAACAAGAACCCAGGTATTCTGACTCCAAGACTGGTGCTTTATTCCTTTCACAAATATAATATTAACAATGGCAACTAATAGTTATTGAATGCTCACTATATACCAAGTACTTTCCACATATTTTATCATTTAACTTTTAGCACAGCCTCATGAGGAGGGCACAACTATTTTCCCCATTTGTCAGATAGAAAAACTGAGGCTTGGAGGAGTAAAGTTCCTCACTCATGGCTATATACTTAGGAAGTGGAGGATCTGGTATTTGAACCCGGAGAGTCTGACTTGTGAGTATAACCACCATTCTTATACTGACTGTCTTGAAATATACAGCATGTACCTTAAAGAGGATGGAAGGTCAGGTTCTCACTTTGGTTGCCCTATCTGGGGGCAAAATAATGATCATTCCAGAAAGGTCGAGGCAACTAATCAGTCAGCAAGGATTTGTTAAGTATTTACTGTGTGTTCAGATGTGTGCTAGGATGCAGTGTTACAGGGGGTTGAGGCATAATTGTTAACCTCAGTGAATTAGGAATCCACCTAATTGTATAAAATTGAGTAATAGTTATATAAAATCATGGCATGTATATAAATAGGTGATAAAATGACACTATGAGGTAAAATAATTTATAGATATTTAAAAAATCAAATTTTCAAAGAACATTCAAGGGGTCTGGAAAAATGTTTCCTATATAATGTAAAGGATTTAAAAGGCAGGATGGGTATCTGTACATATGGTAAAACTAAACTTTTTGTGATTCTTTTACTTGGATGAGTTTTCTTATCCATATTTTCGAAGTTTTTTTTCTTTACACTGAGCATGAATTAATTTTATATTTTAACTTCTATAATAAAAAACCGCATATTTAAAAAATCTAGTTGGGGTAATATGACATATACATGAAACAATTAGAGAAAAAAGGTATCAGCAAATGGTAACATAATAAGACTTGCGGTGTTGCCCTAGTACAACACTCTGCTAGTAAGTTTCAAAACACGGTGGAAAAGACCCCACTCTGGGAATCTGGCAGTCTAGATTCCCATCTTGCTTCTGCCATCAGGGATCTGCATCCCCTTTGGCAAATCTCTTCTCCTTTCTTGGCCTCACTTTCCTCATCCGCAAAATGAGGTAGTTGAACTAGAACCGCTTGATCTATCTCCAACACTGTGATCTGTGACAAGACTTCAAGACTTGGTTTTGCTGATTCCTGACTATAAATCAGAGGGTAGTAAAATGACAGGTTAACATTGGAGGCACTAAATGGAAGATACTGTTAACCGTGGTCCCTGAAACTCATGCTTTACTGCATTTTTAATTCACTTGCTGTGAATTTTTTCTTCCTCTTCTCCATCTAGTTAAAAAAGGCAGGGCTGTCATGATTTTCAAATATAACATCATTGTAAGACTCACAGACTCCAAGAAGGAACTAGCGGTTACCAAAGGGGAGGGGTGTGGGAGGGAGAAGGGGATTGAGTGGTATTTTGTTTAGTACACAAAGGTTGTGGTTGGGGGTGGGCATGGTGAAAACAGTGTAGCACAGAGAAGGCAAACAGTGAATGTGTGGCATCTTCCTACAAAAAAATAAATAAAATAAAAATGACACTGTTCAATCTGAAAAAAAAATCATTGTATCCCAGTGAAAGTTAAAAGAAGGATTATGTTAGGAAGACAATTTAGAGGAGTGTCAAGAGTTAGAAAATCTGCATTATAATCTCAGTTCAGCCAGCCACTAGCTGTGTGACCTTGGGCAAGTCACTTGGCCACCTCTCTGTTCCTTACTTTCCTCATCTGAGAGAGAGGGGAAAAAAAGATCAGTGATCCCAACAGACAACCTAGGTGTGGGGTTGGGTAGGAAATGAGAAGAGGTGATGGTATAGGTGGAGCAAGGGCACCCTGGAATGTGAATGATAAAAAATTCGGTCATCATCCAGATTTGGGCCTGCTGGGGACATCATGTTGGCAGATCAGCCCCAGAATACAAAAGAAGAAAAGGTAGGTAAAAGACTGCATCGCTTAGGGGTCCTCAGCAGGATTCTTTCTAGTGAGTCTGTGCTTGTGGAATTGGCTAGTTAACCTTTGCTCTGGAGAGAATGGAGACTGAAATGCTAGAAAATCACATTAGCAAAATTTCTCTTTTAACCTTTTCTGTATCTCCTTCGTTTGTTATTTTTGGTCTGATGAAGAAATCAACATCAAAGGAAGAAAATCCATCCACTCAAAGTGATATGCTCTAAACTTCAATCCACACATCACCCTTAATTAAAAGAGCTCAGAAAAATCTTAGCTGGAAGAGCTCAACTGGCACCACATTTTTCCCCAAGTGAAAGTCCCAGGATCCACTTTTCCACTCTCCTGTTTTCAGTGACATTAAAACAGACTGCATTTGAAGAAAGTTTGTTCTTTCCTTCAAGCCAGCAACTGCCAGGTTTATCATATTACTATCCATGCTGCTTTATCCCAAGCATATATAGTTCAGATAAAAAATCAGAAGGGATTATGTCCTTCTAGAAAATTCTATTCAATGATGGCATGATTGAACCTAGTAGGGTATATGCCCTGGCTAATTTAAGCAGCAAATCAGTTCTTTCTCTCTCCTTTGCTTTGCCCCGAAGCAAATCCCTTATGCCTGAGGTAGCATTGTGAGAGTACTCAAAGATGACCCCATCCAGCTTGCCTGGTTCTAGCTACAGATTTACAGAGGGTACAAATTAATTTAGAGAGTTTTAGGGTTGGCCATAGATAGATTGTCTTCCACAGTTTGGTTTTGACTAATTCTATTCCTCTCTTCCACTTATCAGGTAACTCAGTACACTGTGTTAATAATAGATATCATTTATTAAACACTTACTATATGTCACACATCATGGTAAATATTTTACATGGGGGATCTCATTTAATCTTCACAAAAACTTTATAAGGTAGTAACTATGTATTTTTATTTCACAGATGAGGAAACTGATGCTTAGAGAGGTTAAGTAATTTGCCAAAGGTTATTTAGCTAGTAAGAGCCAAGATTCAAATACAGGCAGTCATAATTTAGAGCCGTTCTTTGCTCTCTGGTTACTCCCAAACTAAGGAGAAATAGCCTTCTACTAGGCGAAGGTCAAACAGCAACCCCTTGCTCCAGAAAGTCAGGTGCAAAATCCAAGGGTCAGGGGTGAGTGTAAAGAGCTGGAAAGCTCCAGGTCTCTTCACCCAAGAGAGAGCTTAAGTTTACTCATTGTCATCTTTCCCTTGTGGTCTATATAGATCTATAGGTAGTAGAAGGAAGAACTGGGGACAGTAAGATTTGGGACTGACAGAAACCAGGAGATCAGAGGATACTCTTAGTAAGACTTGCACAAAATAGACTGAACTCTTGGAAGAGGCTGTGGTATTTAGTCAAAGGGTTGGCTAGACTCAGAGATGTGCCAGAAATGAGTTTCTGTTGAGCTGTCATCATCTGGGTGGCAAGAGACTAAGAGGATTATCAAATGGTAAGTGTCACCAGTCAGTGGGAAGGACCAGGGGAAGATGCGTTCAATGTGTATGTGTCAGGGCAGTGCCTGTGCTAGAGAATGGGAAGTATGGTGTGCCTCTCTCCTCGGTTCCCTAGGCTCTTGACTCCAGGACCCAGGGAGAAACCTCACTCACTAATGGCCCTGCAGTGCCCAAGAAAATGAAGGTGCTTCCTCCAGGGAGGCCCTGAGCAGTTTTTCTGCTTTACCTTGTGTCCCTCAGTGGGCAGCCCCATTCTAAGAGAAGCTCTAGGGCCTTGCTGCAAAGGCAGTACCCTTAGTGCTTGGCTCAAGTGTTTTCTTATGAATCAAACATCAGAAGACAAGTGGATGCCTCCTAAGCATTTTGGAAGTCAGGGAGACTACTTGAGTACTGTTTGGATAATGGATTGTCACAAAAGAACAGAAAAGATAATTCATTTTGTGACTGGAAACAGATGGAATTAGCACGAAGACAGTTTTTTTGCAAAAGAAGACTCTTAGGTCTTCCCTTGAACCTGTAGTCCTTAGATTATGCAGAAAAATACATCTGAGTTCTTTATGACCACAGAGTATATGAGTAGATGTTGCTCACAAGAGGCAAACTGGATGGGCAAATATGGATGCATGGGTGAGATATGTAGGAGATCATGGTGGTGGCCTGGTGATCTTAAGGGGTGCTGTGATGCCTTTCTTGGCAGAAAAAAAATAATCTTGTGTTTGGGGAAGAGCTGAGAACTGTAGAAAGGCTCAGAGGGTGGCTGTTCAGGAAGGAAATCTGGTCCCTAAAGTGACAAGAGATTTTATTTGTGAAATGAAATGAGGTTTCTGTTTTTAGGACATAAAGCTCAAGGATTTTAAACTAACGATTATGTTGATAATAATATCCAATGTGTGCCAGGCACTATTCTAAGTACTTTATTTTGGATTTGCAAATTATCTCATTGAAAACACTCAACAACCCTATGAGGTGGTACTATTTTGGTCCCCATTTTTTAACTGGGAAATCCAAGGCACACTGAAGTGAAGTAACTTGACCCAAGATCTCACAGCTAGTAAGAGGAAGAGTTAAGAGGTGAGCAAGGATAAGCCACAACTGGTTGGAAGCGCTGCTCACTGCTTTCAAGGATTCAGCAGTTTTATCAGAGTCTTATAAAGGCAGAGAACATAGATGAATATGAAGAGAAATTTCTATATGTAGAAGAAGAATTCGAGGGGCTCCATTTTCGATGATCTTCCCTTTGGAAGAAATGAAGTTACTGCAAGGGGAGGTAGTATAAATTGGACAAGAGTGAATGATAGCAGGTCAAAAATAGAAACCTCTTCAAAGATCATCCAAAAGAACCTCCCCATTTTACAAATGATAAAAACTAGAACCAGAGAATGGAGTTACTTGTCCAAGGTCATCCAGGAGGTTGGTGGCAGTTGAGATTGGAACCCAGGTCTCCTAATTCCTGTTCCATTGCTCATTCCACTATACCCTTAATACCCCTATAGCTTTTATTCACTCCCAAGGCCGTAAGAAACATGGTATATCAAATGTTATGATTTCTGTCATTTATAAGACTGCAATATAGAATATGTGGTATATATGTACGTTATTTAGTCTGTATCTGCACTCTTGGGGTGGTCAGTTACCTTTATTGGGAAATGCACAGTGCAGGAATAGTTATTTAGCATTTAAAAATTCTAATCAAGAAGTGGTTCTGCAAGCACTTCAGATATCTTTTTCTCTAATGAACACCAGAGGCTTTGTTAATTAACGTTAAATTTCTCATTGGTGAAATCGGTAGTGTTCAACATATATGGATCGGCTAGAAATATGGTAGAGGTGTTCCCAAATGAGCAGAAAAAAGATTTAAGGATCTAACAAGCTCTATAGTGTTAACCCTTAGAAATGGCACCCTAGGCTTAGTTTGTAAATAGTCCTGGGCAGCCATTAATGAGGATTCTTGGTTAGCTGAATCCTGCCCTGAGTATTGTTTTGTCTGCCTCAAGTGAACTTTCATGCAAGTACCTAAAAGAAAGGGAGCTGGACTTGACTGAGCCTACAGAATAGGCTGTCCAATTATTTTTATGCCTGCTTGCTATTATTTTAATGAGAAATGGATTTTGTCTGAGGCTTACTTTCAAACCTGGTAGTGAGGTTATGGGGAGAAGAACGATAGCCCTCACTCTAACTATGGCAGGCTACTGCTACCCAACAAACATATCTAATGATTGTGAATAACAAAGTTGACTTAGGTCAGTTTACAGCTTCAGACAACTCACTATACATCTCCATTTTGGACTCTGGTCTAAAGTTGATAAGCCTCTGTTTTGGGTGGATAGGAAGCTCCTACCCTGGGTGAATGTTGGCAGAGCCTTACTTGACCCACAGTCTCCCAGTTGTGGGTCTAGGATTTGGATGTACCAGAATCTAAGCAGTTTCCCTGATAGCATATCCTAGAAGTACTTCTTCTGACCTGCTGAACACTTGTTAATGAGCCTGTGCCAGGATTCTGCCCTTGCTGCAGACCTCACACTGCATTGCCTGGGGGAAGGTTAGAATTGAGCTGGCACTCAACCATGAAAGTCCACTGAATATACAGTGTATGCATGTGGGACCATAAATATGTGCACAAAGGAGAGAAAGTTCTTCCATATTGATGACACACCAAGAAGAAGTCAAAATAGATTTTTACTAAGAAGAGATTTTCTCTGTTATTCTCAGCAATTATTAATTACCAGTTAGAAGAACTTCCCTCAACCAGTAACTTAGTTGCTAAGGGAGGTGGATAGTGTAGCACAGAGGTCAGAAACCTGTACCTTCCACCTCTCACTACCTCAAGTCCTGCTGCAGATGTATTGTTTATCTCACAGTGGTTTAAAAAAATTGGATTTGAATGTCTTCAGGTAGGGAGCATGGAATCTCCAGATTGCCACAATCTCCACCACTCCATACCTGGCCC